ACCCGGCCAAGCCCGGGGGCGCGCCGGGGCGCGCGTCTCCGCAGGCACCGTCCGCGGGGTCAGTGCGGCCCGTGCTGGTGCTTCAACAGCGCGTTTCTAGCGTGCGTGGAAGCTGGCGCTGCAGGGGCAGGCGCCGCCCAGCTCACCGGGCCACGGGCCCTGCGGCCCGACCCTCGGGCACTCCCGAGGCCACGCCTCCGTGCAGGTGTGCAAAGCGGGGATCAGAGCCCCCCATTGCGAAAACGCGCACAACTGGGAATTTTTGGAGGGAGAAGGAGCTGTGGCGCCCCCAGGGCGTGCCCTTGGCTGCCGGGCGCCATGGGTGCTCCCCTGTCCAGGGGACCCTGGGAGACGGCCGCTGCCTTGGCGTCACCGGGAGGAGCCCCAGAGCATCCAGGAAGCTTGTATGTCAAACCAGACACTCCATACCGTTCCTCCGGGCCAAAGTGGGGGGTGGGAGGGGCGGGCAGGGCAAGGGAACCCGAACAATCTGAGGAAGATGCCAGTTTTACACAGAAAGTGGGTAGAATGTGAGCTTTAAACACAGTTTGCAGAGAAGTTACATTCCTGAAACATCTTTGCATGGGAAAGGCACGCACATGGGTCACGGAAGGTGCCCACGGGCGGAAACGCCAAGGTGGGGTCACCCACCAGTCTCCAGAAGGCTACGGCGAGTTTGGCCGCGGGCTGGGATCCCCAACACCTGGAAGGGACGCTAATGTTTCCTGGAAAGGAAAAGGAAGCTCTGTGCAGAACAGGGGTCATTCTGCTGGGAACAGCTTCAGCTGAGCCTCCTGCCCCTGCCAGCCCAGTGGACTTAACCCAGCAGCTCTTTCCAGGCCCTCCCCCGCACTGAAACTTGCATGTTACTGAAGCAATAACCCCCCTGTGCCCTCTCCCCAAGTGCAGAACACAAGATGGATGGATTTTTTTTTTTTTTTAAATATGTTGCCTCCAACGTATTAACTCACTCTCACTGAAGTCCTGAGGGGCTACCGGGGTCACAGCCTGCAATTTCTCACACATGGACTTTATTTTCTTTGGCACGGTGTAGATTCCTTCCTTCCTTTTTAAAGAACCAACTCCATGGAATTTGGGGGAGGGGGAAACATCCTGTATACCAGGAAATTCAGTGTATAGCTCAGAAATTTTACTTCTTTAAAAAAAGAAAAAAAACTAACAAGAAAAAGACCCACAGGAAGAACGGACAGCTTGGCATGTGGACAGCCTGGCATGCGGACAGCCTGGCATGTGGACAGCCTGGCATGCGGACAGCCTAGCATGCCCTTTGCAACGGTCACCGGGAGGGTGGCGGCTCCCTCCCTGGCCCTGACCTCTGAGAGTGTAACAAAGAAAGAGGACAAATAACATGAGCAGCTTACGTGCAGAGAATTTAATCCAACACTTACAAACTTGGATATTAATAAAAACCTGTTTGAGTTCTAGAACCTCTTGGTCTAAATTTTGAGAGCATGAAATCTAACCTGTGCTCCTGCGTCAACCCGAAGGCGCCAGAAGCCAGCCCCAGCCGGGCGGCAGGTGCACGGAAACACCGAACTGGCCCTGCGACCCTGCCGGCAGCTGCAGCCGCAGGAGCCGGGCACCTCCCTGTCGCCCCGTAAACCTGGGGCTGGAGAAAGACCAGAGACCAGTCTGGTTAGTAAGCAGTGAGAGTTTGTTGAGAAAAGGCTTGTGCTTGCTCTGCGGCGGAGGCCGGCGCAGGTGAAGCCAGCGGGTGTGTCTGCTAGAAAGGAAGGGGAGCTCGGGGCTCCCACAGCTTGTGACATTGGTGTGGCTTTGCCCTTTCTTGGTGACGGGGTGCTCGGTGACGCTGGATGCGTGGGGACTTAGTTGGTGCCGATGCCCGTCCCACCCGGATGTCCAGAACGCCCTCCACGCCGCAACAAGACCCCGGAACGGGAAAGGGCTCCCAGCCCCTCGCACAGGCCAGGCACAGCCTCAGACAGCCCCGGGGAGGGCGGGACGCGCGCTCCAGCGAGCTCCCAGCGCAGCTTGCGGCAAAAGTACAATATTAGAAGGGCCGCCATCCATCACCCTTTAGTAGGTTTTCTTTAACGATCCCATTTCTCAAAAGTAAGCAAATAGAGCTCTATTTGCAGCAACTCAAAGTAGACCATAAATTTAAGTGATGTATTTGTTCTGATCACTGATAAGAGACTAATATTACATTGATATATTTTCTTCCTGTCAAGCGTTATTTACATCTGTACAGTATTTCAGTTAAAAATAAAATACCATAAACCAGATTTTATCGGAAAGTAGAAGGGCAGCCAAACATGCCCGTCTAGTAAAGACTCAGAAGCTTCTAGAAAACCACTTTGTTGCAGGAGGAGCTAAGTAATACAGTCTGTGACAGAGAGCGAACTTCTCCAGGGCCTTGTGGGCTGGCGAGCTGCCCCGCAGGCAGCGTCCCCACGCGCCCCGCACAGACTCCTGGGCCAGCCGCGGCTCCAGGGGCAGAAGTGGGGGCAGACGTGCAGCACAGGCCGCCCCGAGACCGTGGCTGGCCCGGGCATCCCAGGCGCCTGCGACCGCAGGCGGGAAGCGGCCCCGGGAGTGCGCAGAACGGAAGCTGAGCCATGGCTGAGACCCTCCTCTGCAGGGTGACAGCCACCAGGCCCTCTCGTTATGACGAGCATGAAGTGGCGATCACCTTGTGATCGTGAGTGGCAGACAGTGGCCACTTCTGGCTTTCTAGCACAGCGGTGTCTATAATATTTCACCGTTTGGGTTCCAACGTGGCAAAAAAATGAAACATCTTGATCTGGTCTGACTGCAGCGCTAAGACAGGCTCTCAGCGACTTCAAGATGAGGGTTACCGGCATTTCTAAAGTACGCTCGAGGGAGAAACTAAGTTTCAGTCACATGTGCCACAAATGTGTCCCAACCCACCACCTCTCAGACAGCAAATCACTTCTCAAAGAACAGTGAAATACGCAAGGCCTCTGAAATGATAAAACCGCCTCCATCAAGAGTAGTCTCTAAATTTGAAAGATGGGCTTTCGACAATAATGGAGTATTTTTCAGATTTTAACTAAGAAGCTCTAAAAATATCTTGTCTTTGCTACAAAAGCAGTGGCTAAAAGAGTGTGTGCACCACCCTGCAGCAGGGGGCATTCTCTGCAGGCCTAGGGCCCGTCGGTCCAAATAACGTGCGCGCTTCCGGTAACTGGGCTGGGTGGGTCACACACGTTTCCTACTGGCTACAAAATAATGCCACTGACGCTGAGTCCAAGCCGGGGCTTAGGTCTGCTTAGCGCACAGCTCAGTTTCCAAAAGTGCCCTTTGGAAACTGAGCTGTTTCCAAAACATCTGGCATTACAGTGTGTTTATTAAATGTAAACACTGAAGCACCTTCACTGCCTGAGCTTCTTTTAAGTAATGTAAATATGCATAAAGGCTAATCTGCTGGGTCCTGTTAACAACCACATGTGCTAGCGCGAATGTGCCTCTCCTGCCTCTGCTAAGGGGGGTTTGTGACGTGCGAGTTCAGAAACACAGCCGCGTACCCCTTTTCCTAGAGCATCTGCCTCAGAGCTTTGGCAAGCAGAACCCTGACATTGGGCACGGGGTCCGACACCAGCCTCAGGAGGTTGGGGAGCAAAGTGTTGAACAAACTGGCCCACCAGGACACACTCCACGCTCACCATGGCCTGGGGGGGCCACAGCCGAAGAGTCGATATGGTCAACCGACCCTGACATGGTTGTCTTTAAACCCCCACTTCTACCATCCTAAGAAATCACTGTGTTGGACCGAGGTAAAGCTGTGTGTGTGTCTGACGTAGGGCTGTGTGTGTGTGTGTGTGTCTGAGGTAGGGCTGTGTGTGTGTGTCTGAGATAGGGCTCTCTGTGTGTGTATGTCTGAGGTAGGGCTGTGTGTGTGTATGTGTCTGAGGTAGGGCTCTGTGTGTGTGTGTGTGTGTCTGAGGTAGGGCTGTGTGTGTGTGTGTCTGAGGTAGGGCTGTGTGTGTGTGTATGTGTCTGAGGTAGGGCTGTGTGTGTGTGTATGTGTCTGAGGTAGGGCTCTGTGTGTGTGTCTGAGGTAGGGCTGTGTGTGTGTGTCTAAGGTAGGGCTATGTGTGTGTATGTGTCTGAGGTAGGGCTCTATGTGTGTGTGTGTG